GATTAAATGAATAAATCTCAAGGAAATCTGAATTTTCTTCACAAATAATCAGATTGTTTCCTTGGGTCTACACAAGATCTCACAACTACTGAAAAAGTCTGAAAATGGTTCAGTGAGTGAACATTAAGCTGGAACAACGGGTGCAGGGAACATCTGCTCTACAGCTGTATAATGGGTATCTTTGTAGCAGATAAACCTATCACTCTGGTCTGTCATTTTAGAAACCGTTAGCTTTGGTCTGCAGCCTGGCTCTTGTTATTTTGTACTTTTAAAAGCCCCAAAACGTAATGATTCACAAGTTACTGCTTTGAGGAGCTCAGCAAGCTCTTGCATTTCCAACAAAATGTAACTTCTTGTTCTGTTCTTGTTTTATTCCCTTTCCTGTTTTGTTTAGAAGTTTATTGGGTTTAATCTTCAGTCTACAGTTACAAATAAATTCTGGAGTCTTTTGATGTAGCTTTCTTTTATTCTTAGAATATGTTTTATTACCATCACAGTACGTTCTCTAATTGCAAGTCTTTTTGTCCTCGTTTTTAGATTGAGATCAGTCGGAGGGTGACTCTGGAAGAGCTGCCCCCTGTGCTCGTGCTCCATCTCAAGAGATTTGTTTTTGAAAAGACTGGAGGCTGCCAGAAACTGACCAAGAACATTGAATACCCTGTTGACCTGGAAATCAGTAAAGGTATGGACCCACACTCTACTGAGCACACCAGGCCTTTAACTTGATCCATGGTCTCTTGGTGCACTCATTATACTGTTTAAACACTAAGTTCATAACTTTAGATTTTCACTGTTGGAAAACTCAACATGATTGCATGCTGCGTGCAAATACATTTACACATGCTAACGAAAGCTGTCGTTTTAATTTTTTTTTTTCTAAAGATGATGACAGACGTACACAAGATTCCGTTTCCAATCATAAGAACTCTAGCCTTGATGAAGGACAGAGTTATCACGCATTAACAAGATTCTCAGTTTTAGCTATAGATCATTAATTCCATGAGTTGGCCAAATTAACCTCAAGTGTTCCTCAATTTACACTCTGAAAAAGATGGTTCCCCGGAGAAAGACTAATCTTTTGTAATATTCAAGAAGATAGAGTGGTGTGTCTTTCTCAAAGGAAATGATCTATCTGCTGAGCCTGGAAGTGACTTACAACATTACTCACTGATCAAATCAGGTTGCAAAGCATTATTATTTTTCATTATTATTAATCATTCTGAACAATGTCTCCAAGTGACTTTGAGGCTCCTCCGCTGTTAAAGTGTGTGCGTTTTTCTGCAGTGTAAATCTTAACAGGCCAGCAGCAGAATATGTTGTTACACTGTATTTAATTATAATTAAAGCAATGCTTTTGAACTTCTTGTTCTAATCAGTAGATTTTTCTAACTATGATTTTTTTTTCCAGATCTCTTGTCCTCTGGAGTGCGGAGCAAAGTTGTGAAAGGCCAAAGAACTTACAGGCTCTTTGCGGGTGCGTTTGTGTTTTGTTGTTTATCTGCCGCAGGGGGTTGTAAATGTGTTGTTTTTGTAACATTGTCACTGTAGAAATTATTAATTCACAATGATGTTGTCCCCCTTCATCCATGAAAATAATGATGCCGCAAAGGGTACTTTAAGAGTTATTGTCCCTTTTTTCTGTTTGGAACCAAAATACTTGTGGTTGACAGTTGTTTCATTTAACGTCAGGAAGTACTTTGGAATTATAATAAATGATAATAACGTTTTTGGAATAAGTCTTTGTTTTGCTAAATTTGCCAAGCAATACTTCATCCAGCTGGAGTGAAAGCCATTTGTAGTTAATCAGAAGTTTAGGAAAATGTGCTGAATAAATTTAAAAAAGACCAAAGGTAATACTTAATTATGATCAACTGTGATTTGGATTGAGAGCTATCCCTCTTTTTATATCCACTATTGAGATGAATAAATCAGAACATTTTAGCTTGTTTGAAGTCATGGAAGAGTAATGGCCTTTAAATAAAATAACCCATTTCTCCAATCCTTTTTTCCCTCCTTCCTCTTAACTTAACCAGTTGTCTATCACCATGGGAACAGTGCGACAGGCGGTCATTACACCACGGATGTCTTCCACATTGGTCTTAACGGCTGGCTGCGCATTGACGACCAGACAGTGAAGGTCATCAACCAGTACCAGGTGGTGAAGCAGACTGCAGAGCGCACCGCCTACCTGCTGTACTACCGCCGCGTCGACCTGCTGTAGACACGCACACGCACAC